AAATCAAATTTCTCACTTAGAATGATAATGTCAAAAGGTATATTGCAATTATTAATACTTCAAATTAAAGATCCTTTTGAAATTGACATTAGGCAACACACCTAAAAGAAGAAAAGTAATTGATCAATTGATATACATATAAGAGTAAATTTGGATAAAATATTTTAATTTTATTTCTTTGTGTTAAAAATGATGAAAAAAATAATATATTTTTTACATAATTCTTAATTATGTCAAAGATCGATACAAGAAATGATAATAACTTTCTGTGGACATATATGAAAATAAAATTAAGGTGACTTTGTTGTTTTTACTATTAATTTATTGTATAAATACTTAAATCATCAAAATGCAAAAAAAAATAATATTTAAAATGGAAAAAACAAATATTGATAAGTTTCAAAAAATATAAAATAAAGTAAAACTAATATTATAAGTGAAAATAATTAAAAATACATTTTCTTACACCAAATATATCCTTATATGTTGTCAAAACTCTGAGAAGGACCAGCAACAAGAATTTATCTTTGTTATTTAAACTACTCGGATGGCATCATTTAAAAGTTGAATATTGAAGAGATCAAAGGCTTGTTAAATCAAACATGGAGGTTCGTACCTAGATAAACTTGAGAATCTATTCATATACTTAATTTATCTACCATATAGATGTAATTTGTGAGTACTTTGTGGGAAGAATGGTATATTTTTCTTGCTTACTTATGAGGAATTTAGGGTTTAGGGTTTTTCTTGCTTACTTCTGAAGAATTTGAAGGTAGGTAAGTTTGTAGTTGTTGTCGGTGCTTGGTGTTTGTCTTGTACATTGTCAAGATTATTACAGTTGAAAAATAATGCACGGCAATAAAATTAGGCTCATTGAATTGGAAGATTTTAACAACAGACTATATGGCTAGATCTACCTTGTAATAAGAGAGGAATTGGTTCAGCTTCAAAAAAATGGAATAATTTAAAACATATCCAGAGTTTGGAGAAGTGCAAATGTGGATAACGTGGCTTCAGTTGCAGTGGCCATATGGTTGCCGAGGCTCCAAAATTTGTTAACATTGCAGATAGATTTTTAAGCCATGCATGATGGTGTTCCAACTAGCAGGTAAACCCTATATATCCTTATTAATGAGGATTAATTATGGACTTATACACCGAGAAATTTAATTCTTATCCTAAGTGGTCGTCACCATGAACTCAGCATCAGAATAAGAATAAGAATATTTTGTAACGTGAACATTTTGTGAAATATACAAATCTAAAATAAGAATAAGCCTTTTTATTGTCATTCTATCCCCATTGATTAAAGTTATTGGAGACTGAAAAATATGTTGATTGCGGTAATTAATACCAATAACGGTAATTTGTAGCTGGTACAGGTTGCTTGTGTGTTGAAAATGTTTTCTACATATACATGGAATGAATATGTAGAAAGAATAGGTAGAAATTATGAGAGCACGTAACACATATATTTGAGGCCTTAGTGGTAGAAGTTGTTGTACTTATATATAAGTACAGAAAGAAATAAGAAATACAAGTTAGGTACTTTTATTGTTCAAGTATCCAAATACCGACGCTTAACATAAATTAGTCATAATTACAAATATTTATTTTATTTTAATGTTTGTTGATAATTTATAAATTGAACTATTTAAAGATGCACTCTGCATTTCAAAAGTTGAATAAATATTAAGTCAACAAGTAAAATGCTGTAATGTGATTTTGATTGAATTGGCTATGATCGAGTTCCATCGAAATATAGTACAAGAGTATAGCAAGATGTTTTGAGATGAATTATTTTTACAAATAATTCCGAACCTATGAATAATCTGAAATAAATTAAAACTGCATGAAGATATGGTATTTTCTCCGGGCAACTAAAGACATTCTTTGATTGGTCTCTGTATATTATCTTTAAATATGATTTCTTAGCATCACTGGTGAAATTGAATCAACTAGTAAGAGTTCAAGATGAAGTGATAATAAGTGATATTATATGTTGCTAGAGAGTTGATCCGATAGGTCAACGACTTGAATTAAAAAATTGTTCTGAAAAGAATGGGATAAATTTAGTTGGATTCAATGTGTCAAGACGGCCACTTAGTTAGAAACTCAAAATTTATCTTACCTATTTGGTATGCTATTTTTTTTTTTATCTTTATAATAAATAAATAAATAAAATGTACCAATTAGACTTAATCCATCAGGCCATGAATAAATCAAACTAGAAAATTAGTGACCTATTTAAAATTTAGATTAAGTCAACCCACTTTACATGTATTGGCCTATCAAATTAGTTTGAACTAATTTCCTATCAAATTAGTTTGAACTAATTCATTTAAATGTTATTATACTAGTTATAATTATGTTCTCGTTCGTCTCATTAATCACAAGTAGGAAGAGATATACTCTTACGTCTCTACTTTCAAGGATCATTTCCCAAAATTTGAATATCTCTACCAAATTGTTTCAAGAACTACAATACAATATCAAAAAAGAAAATAGGCCATGTAAAGATAATGTAAAACAATATTATTTTGTTATAAATTATTATACATGATATGTTTGTTAATTTTTTTAATAATTATTTTAAAATTATCAATGATAATTTTTTATTGATGGACAATATTAAACTTTTTATATTAATAATACATAATTATTGAACTCATAAAAGGTTACCATACGATATGTGGTCAGATCAATAGTGAGTGGTGATCATAGTGTTCCCGACTTTAGCAAGTGCATGCTAATAAAATTCTCGAAGGACAGATACACGTGATGAAATGTACAGATTTGAAACTTAAAGGAAAATAATATTTTATATTTTATTCTTGAGGTGTTAAATTGAATTAAAGCCTAGAAGGAGGTTCATCTAGGTTAGCAACTTCTCATTATGAATGACCTCCACAAAATTAATATTGGTTATCTAAAAAGTACATTTTGTACTCATGTTATGCTTAGTTGAGTGGAGTTTTATATTGATGTACTCATATAGTTAGATGATCTTGATTATTTTGAATTATTAGCTTAATTATATTTGTATTTTTTTTATTGGACTGTAATCATCATATTTGATATACGATCATGGCAGGAATAGGCTGCAGGTAGAGTTTGTGTGTAAGCCATGTTAGTGATGGTGGTGTTGACCTTTGAGTTATCCTAGTGTAGTTGATTGTTATTTGGGTTGTTTGATCAACAACTAAGACTTTCATATTTTAGTACCATATATATATATATATTAATTATGGCGTGTATTTTCAAGTACTGCGTATGTTAATTTCAGTGACGAATCAAGAAAATTTAGATAATGGGAACTATATTTGTAATATTAAAATTTTTACATATAACTTTTAAATATATAAATATATATCATAATTATTTTTTAAAAGCTTTTATATTTACGATTACAATTAAAGATGAAAATAAATTAGGTCAAACTAGGTTTTATTATAATTTAATATGTTTGAATTTAACTTTTTTTTAAAAAAATATGTCTTAAATATGACTTATTTATCTCTCATAGATATTTTTTTTTAAATATTTGTTTAGAACTACAATCCTAAATACTTATTTATAATAGTTTAATACTAATAAAAACATAAAAAAAATATATGTTAAATTGTATAAAAATCAAGTTTAATTTATTTATGATATAAACATATTTTTAATATTTAATATAAATTTTTAGATGATAATTTATTTTAAAATACATTTTATAATAAAAATTCTAAATAAAACATAAATCATCCAATCTTTTCTATTTTGATTTTTTTAATCGACGTATACAATAAATAGAAAGTATAAAGGTAAACATGCATACTATAAATTTTATTTTATCAAAAATTAATTTTTAATATATTACATTATATATGTGAGCATTAATACATATATA